TGGGTACAACACTGGCTTAAGGATAGAGTATAACGAGTTGTCATTAATAGTAAACTTTCAGGCTGGACAAAAGTGGTAAGTGGTGTCCCTCAAGGTTGTTTTGGGACCGCTTCTATTTAACATTTATAAAATGATCTTGAAATAGGCATTGAAAGCCATGTTTCAGTGTTTGCAGAGGACAACTTTGTAAAGTAATAAAATGTGAGCATGATATTGCTTTGCTGCAGAGGGATTTGGATAGATTGGGGGACAGTGCAATAAAATAGCAGATGAAATTTAATGTGGAAAAAATACAAAGTTATGCACTTCAAGGTCAAGAATGCACAAGCAACTTACACCCTAAATGGTAGTAAATTAAGGATAACCACACACAAGAAGGATGTGGAAAATGTTAGACAACAAATTAGGCCGCAATATGCAATGTCAGTCTGCAGTTGCTAAGGCTAGTAAGGTTTTGTCATGTATAAATAGGGGCATAAATTCTCAGGATGAAAATATAATTTTGCCTCTTTATAAATCGCTGGTAAGACCACACCTTGAATATGCTGTGCAGTTTTGGGCACCTGTTCTAAGTAAGGATATCATGGCACTAGAAAAAGTGCAGAGACCTGCTACAAAATTGATAAAAGGAATGGAGCATTTTAGTTACGAAGAGAGATTAAATTAATCTCTTTAGTTTGGAAAAATGGCACCTCAAAGGGGATATATTCTACAAATTAATTCGGGGCCAGTACAAACCATTATCTGGAAATCTATTCATAAACAGGGCTATATATAGGACACAAGGTCATGCATTTAGGCTGGAAGAAAGGAGATTTCATCTAAGGCAAAAGGTTTTTTGTTTTTTTACAGTAAAACATACAGGGATATAATTTCTAATTAGTGGGGTAATAGCTGCTTGATCCAAAGAGACATCTGACTGCTATTTTGGAGTCTAGAAGGAATTTACTAGTTTGTTGCAAAATTTAAAACTCTTCAGACTAGGTTTTTGCCTTCTTTTGGATCAACCGCAAAAACATACGTGAGGAAGGCTGAACTTGGACGCAAGTTTCTTTTCAGGTATGCAACTATATTTTTTGTTTTGTTTCATCAGGTTCATGCAGTTTGTTCCCCAATATTACTTCAGCAATCTCCCCCCGACTGAGAGTAAGGAAATCCTACAGAAGGCTTCAGAAAACAAGTCTACAGTCTTACCATTACCACCAGACGAGGAACTTGATGCATACGATAACATTGCTGACAGCTCTGCAGATCAAAGATGCATTATACAGTGATTGTGCCTTTAAAAAAAATACATAAAACAAGTGCAATATCATGTTCCAAGACAAGAGACTTTAATGAGTTGTACAGTTCCAAAAGATCCAATGAGCATCAGGTACTTGTTACACGGATTCTGGATTTCTATTTTTGTATAAAGACCTTTTTTTGTTGTTGTTGTTGTTTTGATCATGTGTCTCAAATAAAAAAATCTTTACATTTTATCATTGGAATTTACAATGGACATTGTTTGAATGTGGGTCAAATATATATATATATATATTTTTTTTTTTATGACAGTGACGCAAAGTAGGGTTTATTTAATTGATTTCAGGGGATAATATGCTAATCACATTAGCCTCATACTTTGCTTAGAACAACTGAATCTACTCACCCTCGGCTAAAGAAGCCACATGGTATACTATACTAGAAGGGGGAAGATTTATAAGCATCAACTGTTTTACTTCGAGATCCAAGTTTAAACAGATATTTCTTCTTTGTCTTTTTAACGGCAGCAATGAAAATGTTTCAATTTTTATGTGGCTTCGGTTTCAGAAAACACATGAGTGGACACAGCAGTATATAAAATCAATTAAGTAATTTGCGACAATTTTTTTTTCTGAGCTGTATAAAACTATTTGTAATAGAAAATCATTCACACAGATAAATATTCCTTGAATTTTTCGATGATCGAATTCATTCTGTCTGCTGGAACCAACATCACTGTTCTCAAGGGTTTCATAGGCACATCATCAAAAGACCATCGTCCTCCCAGCTGACTGTCACTTTCTTCCTGCACGGAATAGCTGAACTTCAGAAGGGCTTTCTGTAAATTAAAAAAGAGTGAGCATCAGTTACCTCATCTCTTTACCGCTGCTGAACATATTTGTATTTAAATATCTCTATTCAAGAAGTATTTATACTAATAACGATAATGTTATTTACAATAGAATACCAAATAAGCTATAGATTGTACTTTTTAGCACATTGCAAGTTTTTTTTATTATGTTTGACTTCGGTATAAGTAAAAGGTGATGAATGGAGCGGTCCAAAAGCCGACAGCAGCACTGTGGCTGCTATCATTTTGTACTCCTGACCTACCATGTTTCCCTGAAATAAGCCATAGCTTATTTTTGTGGGATGCTCATAATATAAGCCCTACCTGAAAATAAGCCCTAGTCCAGTGATGGCTAACCTTGACACCATAAATGGTTTCTGGACTACATTTCCCATGATACTCAGCTAGCTTTTAGACTCCAAAAGCTAGCTAAGCATCATGGGAAATGTAGTCCAGAAACAATTTATGGTGCCATGGTTAGCAATCACTGCACTAGTTGTTTGCTAGTCTAAGTTCGGGGAATGTAACCTTCTGTAAGATACTTTCCCTTCTGCATGCTGTAAACAATATATATGGCTTTTGTTGGGGACGTGCACATTGCGCACATTAATCCTTTCAAAATACCAAGTATGCAGCCCACAGAGCATCAGAATTGGTAGAGCAGAGATGCACTATTAATAACCAAACAGCAGGGCCAGATTAAGAGCCCAGTGGGCCTAGTACAGACAATTATGACGGGCCTAATTACAGAAGTTTATCGACTAAAAACACTAAAACACTCCCAAGTGTCATGTATCTGATGGAGATGGTGCTGGAGGGATAGAAAACAGCAGCTATAAGAAAAACATACCTTATACTTATCTCTCCAATTTATGTTTTCATCTTTCAAGTAAACCCATAACCCCTAACAGTAGTATCCAGTGAAGCAGGAAGTCAATGGGTTCGGTAAAAGCGTGTGCCACTGACTCAAATCACGTAACCTTCCAAAAGGGGCGAACATGCCCAAAAAGGGGGCATGTCTGCTCAAAGAATTGGAAGGCAAGCCTAGCATAAATGCATGTCAGACTGCCTGCCTATCATGCATACTATGCAGACAGCACCCTGAGCTTGGCATAAATGCGTCTAATGATGCGTTCGCTATGTGAAAAGTAGTTAGGGTTGCCACCTTTCTTGGAAAAACATACCGGACTTACTAATTTGCATAATAAATCATGTATGGGTGACATCACATGATGTAAATCATGAGGAGTGACAAAAGAAAATGCTGTGAAAATCACCAAGAAACTAATTGGTTTAATTCTGCTGTATAAATGGATTGCTCCCAGTGTCTCAAGTCTCCTAGTGCCCTCATGACTCCCCATTGAGTCCCCATTGTAACGGACAGTTTTCGCCCACAAGAGGTTAAAAACCGTTTAGGCGATATTCCCCTTTTTCAGATGCGGACAGCTACTGCAAGCACCAATCTCCCGAACTGCAAACCCACGAATTCACCAACTCCCGAACTGCAACCAAGGGAATACTCGAAACTCCTGAACTGGAGACACACGAATAGCTGTTAGCAGAGGAACAGGAAAAGCACCCAAGCGGCTTACACTCCTGGCAATCAGTCTTTAACAGCATACAGTAAATCCCCCCCCAAAGACGAGACACTTCGTTTTGAGGGTCAAGCAGAATCTGGTTTACTGGGGCTAACTCCCCTAGGGGACCAGATGGGCGACTGGGACACAAAGGGTACAAGAGCCAATCACAGACTTACACATTTCAACCATCCCACAATGCATCACAATCCCTCCTCTCTGTCCTGGAGATAATTGGGAAGCAATCCAATTATCTCCAAGGGCAGAGGCAAAACTCCATTACACACATTTTCAGTAAAAGACATAAAATTACATACAGTTACATTTATTACATAACATATACATTCTACATATCCCCAGATAGCCTAGAACTGAGCGCACATTACTACCGAATGGCGCTCAGATCACATACATACATTTCAGTCGCCATGGAGCCAAAGTCTTTCGTTACACGAATAGGCTCCATGGCTTAGCTATCTGGGATGATGCTGTTCATCCGGTTAAACTACTGCATGAACAGTCATTCGGTTCCGCTACCGAATGGAGAGGTAAGGAGGCTGGTCGGCTCAGCGGTGTTCGTGCCAATAAGTGTACGTTTTCAGTTCCATAGTTTGGGCGCTGAACACCGCTGGCCGTTCGGGAGGTAAAATGGCCGCTGCCACGTGTTCGGCAACCGAACAAAGGCCACCCAGCGTTCATCAATTAAGCTGCGGTTAACCGCAGCTTCTGGGCGGTCAATTGACGGCACACTCCAGTTCCCAGGTGGTCCATCATTCGGTAGATTGAATCTACCGAACACCCCGGCAGAAAGGCACGAATAAACCTTTCAGCAGGGAAAATAACAGGTCTGAACTGCAGGGCCATAGTCTAAAGGGAGCAGGCGAGCAACCAGGCTTCTCCAGTGCATAGTGGCGAGGTTGGTTCCACCACACCCATGTGTTGATTACCCCAGGTATCAGTGCCCCATGTCTCCCAGTGACCCTATGTATCACAGAGTCTCAATGCCCCATGTCTCTCTGTGTCCCCCAGTATTCCCATGTGTCTACGTCCCCATGTTTTCCAGGGTCCCCATGTCACTAGGAACACAGACACCAGGGACACTGGCTGATACATAGGGAAACACTGGGGAAAGACACTTGAAGACATGGGGACACTGGCTGTGGGACATTGAGACATGGGGGAACTGGGATCCATGGGGACAGACACCAGGGACACAGATACTAGGGACACTGGCTGGGAGACATGGGGGCATCGAGACACTTGGGGGCACTAGGAGACATGGGGTCACTGTGACACTGGGAGACTAGGGGACACAGACACCAGGGACACTTGCTGGGAGACATGGGGACACTGGGAGACAGATGTGTCTGTCATAATGTCTCCTAATGTCCCTTAGTGTCTCAGTGTATGTCTCCTTACACAGCCTTTCCCCCCATCCCTCACTTTTTCTGAGCTGTAGGCTGCCTCTGCAGGGTGGGAGTTGCTGTCTGGACTCTCTGTAGCTGCACCCCTGCAGATCAGTGAGTATAAATAGGCAGGGAGGGATATGCTGGAACTTCCTATCCTTGACTCTCTCCACACACAGCGACCCCTACTGGCCAGTGCTGATATTGCATCGTAATCTCTGTCTATACTGAGAAAAATACCTGCCTTTTTATTGCCAGTATGACTGCAATATCAGCGCTGGCCAGGCAGCCTCAAATACTGGCTGTGCCAAAAAATACCAGCCAGGTGGAAACCCTAAGATTAGTGTGTTTAAATAAATATGGGCCTATTCCATGGGCCTGGAGCTGCAGCTCCATCAGCCCCTATGTTAATCCGGCCCTGCCAAACAGTCTATAATAGTACGTTGTCATAGACATTTTAAAATAGTGGTTGCATTCCCAACCTCCCAACTCCTCCCTTCCCCATTTCAGATCTACCAAAATTGGCAGGTCTGATAACATGAAACAGTCCTGGTCACCTACATATTTGTGAATGGGTAGACTGATTAAGAATCACTTCATAGTATTCACCATAACCACTTCTTCAAGTGGTTATTGTGCAAAGACTTCGATATGTGCAGGGTTTCTTGTTGCAATGTTACCAATAGAGATACACTATATGGACAAGAGTATTGGGACACACATTAATGATTGAATTCAGGTGTTTCAATCAGACCCATTGCCACATGTGTATAAAATCAGGCACCTAGCCATACATTCTGCATTTACAAAAGTTTGTGATAAAATGAGTCGGTCTGAAGTATTGAGCTCCTAAAGACTTTCATATCCCTTTGCACCAAACAATAAGCAGCTGAGCATTAATTTGTAGTGCAGAATGTGTCTAAAAATGTTAGACCACACTGGTTTGATCTGGTATTTCGAAAGGCAGGGTGGAAATCTGTAGAACTGATCATGTCATTATCTAAGCATGTTTAAGAAATGTTATTAAGCAACCATAACGTTTAAAATCCCACTTACACCATCTCTAGTGGTTTCACAAATTTAGAGCATGACCGAAAAATTAATTGCCTTTAATTATTACACTCCAGTGCTAAATCATATGGATCCCCTTACTTTTTATATCTAATCATCAACGGATACGACTAGGGAGCTCATAGTACATTTATATATACATATGCAATTTTAATTAAATTAAATTGAGCGTGTATTAGCTGTACAAGATTCTCTTCCAACAGATATACATCGCTATAAAATAGATTTTATTGCCATATTAAAATCTAGTTTAACAGCATGAAATGCTTCTCAATGGGGGACAGACAAATCTTAACATAAAACAGGAGCCAAGACAAACCTACCCTCTCTTTCCCTTAAAGCAGCACGGCCATCTCCCCTCTATTAAAAATTCTGTGTTTCTGAAATACTCATTTTGTAAATACGCACATTGACTGTGTTGTAACTTCACTGAAATTCCAGCAGTCTAAAAGGTATATTAAGACAAAGTAGGGTCAATTTCATCTTCGAATTCCTCCTACACTTGACTAAAAGGCAGAGCTACCTTTTATCAAGCCCCCGTCATCACTTGTGACAATTGAGGGGGGGGGAAAGGTGCCGTTTATAGAAGGTCTCATAGACCTCAGTGTTGTACTCTCACACATGCGAGTAAAGCGCTGATGTTGGCTCCGGCCTGCTTAAGTGGACTGGCAGGAAGAGCATGGTGGTGGCTGCGAGAGACAGATTCAGGTAAGTATCACCACCAAAGTTACCATTGGGGGTCTTTGCAAATTATGCAAAGACCCCAGACGCTCTCAGAGCTGCTTTAAGTCTGCCATTAGCTCTTAAAAAAAAGTTATTCAATTTTAAATTAATAAAGTTGCATTTGTATGCATTGCTAACATTCAATGCACAATGCGCTAGGCAAGACTATAGTGGAAAAAATACAGAATCCAATATTTTTAGCTTAAAGGGACACTACAATATCCCAAACCACTTGCTCCAGGATGCCTCTGTACAAGTTTTCTTGTATAAAAAGAAATTGATAGCAGAACACTATAAAATCCTTATATTAACATTAAGAGTTTTTCTACCTAACCTCCATTTGTTTAAATTGGAAACTATTTTGTAGGGATCGACTGATTTTTTATTTTTATTTTTTTAGAGCAGATACTGATAATCTGTGAACTTTCAGGCCGATAACCGATATATTACTGATACTCTGTACATTTACCGTTTTGAAAAAAACAAAACTATTTCTACACAAATCTTCAGTTAACTGAACGTGTTATTTTTCTGCAAATTTTTTTCTTTTTTATTAAGGTAAATGCACAAAATATACATGCCAGTCAGAATTTTTGCAGTGAGAGTATTTGATTAGTGAATGCAGTGTGTTTGCATTCACTACACACACATTACACAAACACACTATTCATTATATACACACTACACAGAGTGTATAGTTAATGCAGTGAGTGTTTGTGTAGGTATGTAATGTGTGTAAAATGGGGGAGAAGGCATTTTTATATTTCAAAATATTACATTTAACATTTTGTTTTAGTCCCGTCCCCCCGCTTCTCACCTGGCCACGGAGGGAGAAGATGGCATTCCCTGGTGGTCCGGTGGCATGGACTGTGCAGAGAGGGCCCAGCAACACTCACTTTCCTTCCCAGCAGCTCCCCAGCCTAACTCTCGCAGCCTGCGTGCCGTGTTGCCATGGTAACATGCGGCACTCACAAGATTTAGACAGGGGAGCTGAAGGGAGCTGCTGGAAAGGGAAGTAAGAGTGTGCTTACTTCTGTCTGGGTTGTCATGCCCTGATCTGCATTATCGGCAATATCGTTATCTTTATAGGCAGATACCGATATTGCTGAAAATTCCGAATATCGGCCAGACTGATAAATCAGTCGATCCCTACTATTTTGATTTGCTTTACCCAATGCTTAGGGTTAGCACCACTCTTACCCAGAAATAAAAGGCCAAGGTTTTGTGGAAACATTTTATCAGCCCAGATAATTGAAGAAAAATGCAAAGATTACAAGTAATATAGTTGTACCGCATTTACCTCATAGAAGAACTCTTCCTCAGCATTTGCAAACATCAATTCGCTTTTTGCCTGCGTTCCTCCACGTCCCTTCTTTGCAGCTTCCATGAACGTTTTACTTAAAATGAGATAGTAATAACACTTCCCACATGGTTTGTTGGTTCTCTGTGCTTCTGCCAGCTCTTTCCTGTTTCAGATAAAACCAGCATGAGGGTTAGAATTCTACATGTTACATTGAGAGCATCAGAATGCATATTAATGAGCAAAAACAACTGTCTAAATAAATTCTCTATGACGAAATATTCTTAGTAAGAAGAAAATTTGCCATTTGTGGTTTATCCCTACAAAATAGAAAGGAAATAGGTCCAAAACCTCATTGAAACAAGCAGGGGGATTGTTTACTAAAACTGAGCATTCCTCAATTTGCTGCAAATTTCCAGGCTTTGCATCTTCTGCAGTGACCTCTGCCCAAACCAGATGGTGACTCATCCAGTCATGATGCTCCTTTAACTCTATGGCGGTGCTGATCTTCGTCCATAAATTTCTTTGCTTTATGGTTACAGCAGTGATTTATAGAGATGCACCGAAAAGAAAAATCTGGGCCGAAACCAAAAATTCAGGATGCTCTTGGCCAAAAAATACTTTTTTCCTCAAATGATTTAAAAAAGTTTTTTCCCCTAAAACTTTAGGAGTTTTAGACTTTTTAATGAATTTAATTAATCTAATATGAAAAACTTCCCTTCTCGTCATTGACGAGATTACTGCTATATGCGTCCCCTTCCTACCCACCCCCCAATCCTCTTTTCTTTTCTGTACCCTGCCCAATTGTCAACCCAGGGCGTTAAACCTCAACCATGACTGGTTGAAGAAGAAAAAATGTTTAGTTTCTTGATAGAACGGAATAGATGGTAGATACATCCAAAACAGACCCAGAAGAACTAACCAGATACTGGGAGTGTATCTCTATATTATCTGCATTATCTTTATGTTTTTTTTATGTTACCATGTTGACGTGATGTTTTCTTGACAAACAATGCATTACTTGATTGACAATCACCCCCTGAAATCCCTCTTTCCTTTCTGTACCCCAAAACCTTAATAAAAAAATTGTCAAATTGAAAAAAAAACTAAAACAAAAAAAAAATGGAGTTATAGGAGAAAGGAGGAATCCCCTTCTAACACAACTACAGCACAAATAATGAAGCCAGTTATTGGCATCATGGGTGAGGTGTGCCCTGCAAAGGGGGAAGTTTTCCTAAGCAACAATGGTGTTCGGAAGATTACGTATAGGGTATGGTGCCAAGAAGCTCTAGGTGCAATATCTTTGGTTTTGGTCATATAATTTTCACACCTTATTATCTTTATGTTTAAAGTGGCAACAAATTATGTGGTGCTCTACAATGCACATTTAAAAAAAAAAAAAAAAAAAGATTCCTGGGCACCAAAAAGTCCAGACCCTCAGCTCGAGATGGCATAATTAGAAAATTTCAGTTCCTCATTATCTACATGTGAACAATGGGGTGTCAAAACCTTGAAATGAGAAGCTGTACAGTACACACAGAGCTATAGGAGAATTCAACAACACAGAACCTCCAAAGTTCTTTGTATAAATTCAGCAGCATCAAAAGTGTTAACGGCATCGCAAATTCTTCTATACCCCAGTACCTACAACTGCATCGTGCAATGCCTGCGCACAATACATTTGCAGTCTTATTGAATGAATCGAGAACTGTCAAATTTAAGGCCAAAGTAGCGTAACTGGAAACATCCTACAATACAGCTGTGCTTCCATTTCAGTCCTGCACCCCTTTGAAATATATTTTTGGGCTCATATTTCCATTCAATAGCAAGGGAATTCTCCACTGTCTGTAAGCATCATGCAATGAATATTGTTTAGCTTGGCTGGACAATACGGAAGGAAACCTGAAGGCTT